AAGTAACTTAAATGGGGGCAAAGTTGCATAACGTGATTTGTTTCCAAAATATTTGAAAAAAAAGAAATTTTGAAAATCCGTTTTTGTTTCATTTCAGCCTTGTTTGAGATGACATTGAAAAAAGAAGAATACTTTCTCATGGCTCCTTTTTGCCCTCTATCGAATGGCAAAATCAATTTTTATATGTAACGTTTCGTCTTCAGTGTCAACGTTTGGGGTAGCATTTTCAACAATAATTTATTGCCTGTACATGTTTTAAATGATCGTTTAAATGCAGATCTATATAGAATTTCCTTGGAAAACAACCTTTTTGATTTCATTGATGATGTAGGGCTTAATATTGTTCAAAATATGTGCTATCAGCACGATGGTGCACAACCACATAGAGGAAGACAAGTAACTGCTTGATTAAACGATCATTTCCCGAATAAATAGATAGATCAATCAGGTCCAATAGCATGGCCACCGCGTTGCCCAGATCTAAATCCTTTGGACATTTATTTATGGGGACATATGAAGCAGCTTGTCTACCATGAAATCACTACCCATCAGCAGATACTTGAAATAATTCAGGATGCAGCTAACTGGATAAGAAATTATCCAAATCTTATAATAGAACAGAATAGAAAATAATAAAAAAATCACAATGAAAGAACCATCGAAGGTACAATTTCTGTTGACATTTTTAATACCAGCATGTTTGTTCCACACAAACCCGAAAACTACGGGAAAAGCTCTAAAATGAAAAAGGCAAGGCGGGTTGACTAAATAATAAAGAAGATCCGATTTAGGGTCGGGATCTTCGAGAAGGCTGAAAAGATAACTAATTTAACGAAACATTAAAGGAATAATAGGCCTGAGGATTTATCGATTAACCAAGATGTCACTACGCCATTTAACTTATGACACATCCCACAGAATAATGTTTAACGTTTAATATTATTATATTCAATTAGTTTTACTTGTACAATAAAATATTTTGCTAACCACGACAATAGAGCACAACTATGCAATTCAGCTAATGCAACAAAATTGCAGTCAAAACAGCAAATTTTCCGTCTCTATAATTGTTGTATCTATTTATTAGGCGTATGATAATACTTAGAAAAATAATACAAAGTTCCAGTAATTTTCTTGCATAATAGAGCATGTTTTAAAAATTATTTTGAATGACTGAAAAAGTTGCAATCCATTCCCCATAACAGAACTGCCATATTTAATTATTTGTGCACTATTTGTGCTTAGTTGACAACTACTACAATAAACAAATTTTTATAAAACATTCATTAATACTGATAATTTGTAGATTAAATATCATATATATTTAAATATAAAAAAATGTTTAATAGGTATTGCTAACTGAAATCGATACTTGAGAGTCATTAATTATAAAAGTATAAAAGAGCAGTAGCCATATAAAAAATTTATTGTAAATGTATATATTTATAGTTCTATGTTTCCAGTGTGTAATATTAGTACATTATAATAAAATTAATTAATAATGTATTGATAGAGGAGGGATTATTAATAGTTTCTATTGTTTGAATTTTAAAATATATTCACAGTGGAAAAACTTTTAATAAATATTTTAACTTTGTTTACGAAATAAATCATGAAAATATTTTTGCAGGAGGTATATACTGGGTGCGCCGTTTTAGTGGTGCACTTCTTGGAAATTATTAGAGATAAAAATTTCGGATAAACGGGGAAATTTTTTTGAATCCTTCTGTTATCAACCAGGTGTTCATACATTGAAGTTATTTTGACAAAAAAGGCTTAACTTTTTTATGTTTCCAAGTGTTCAAAAAATTTCCCAGTGAATTCAAATTTTTTGCGCAACTTTGCCGTTTTGGGAGATGGGGACACATTGAATATTATTCTGAATGAAGAAATTCAATAACGTGCGGAAAAAAAATTTGAAAAAGTTGAATATCAAATAATTATAATTTTTGGGAGCTGTTACCTGTAAACAAAAATATGAACTCAGTGAAAGTTCTGTAAGAAAGTTTTCAAATGCATATATCAAAAATGTGTAGAGAAGTAAGTTTATTTTATCAAAATATCTCCAAACCTTTCCTCATCCCAATGCAAATCTCCAAAATGACCCGATATGTGTAAAAGTCAGTAAATTTTGTCATTTATTATTTCCAATTTGGTAGGCCAATAATTAAATAGGTATTCAAAAAAAGTTTTAGAATTGAATTTTGCATAATATAAGTACTGTAAGTTAAAAATGTGTAATTTTGGTAAAAAAATTAGATTATAATAAAACAACACACCAAATTTCATTAAAATCGGTTCGACAGTTTTCAGGAAAACAATTTTTTGAAAAATATTTTGAAAAAAAAATTTCGAATTTCCAAAATGTGGCACAGCCTCAAATAAAGCATCTAGATACTTGAAAATTATTTCACATAGAAAAGATCGCTCAACCTTTCAAATGGTTTTCGAAAAATTGAAATTGGTTGGTTAGGACGGCTACAGTAAATTTTTAAAGTTAACACTTTTTTTTGTTTTTAAACAATTAGATTACATTTATCAATTTGCAATTTATTTTTTTGTCAAAAATTATAAATNGAAGTTATTTTGACAAAAAAGGCTTAACTTTTTTATGTTTTCAAGTTTTCAAAAAATTTCCCAGTGAATTCAAATTTTTTGCGCAACTTTGCCGTTTTGGGAGATGGGGACACATTGAATATTATTCTGAATGAAGAAATACAATAACGTGCGGAAAAAAAATTTGAAAAAGGTGAATATCAAATAAGTTTTAGAATTGAATTTTGCATAATATACTGTAAGTTAAAAATGTTTAATTTATTACCGATGTTGCAAAATACCAATAATTGGTGAAAAAAACGCAAAATAATCAAGTTGTTTGGAAAATTTTTTAAAAATATTTTAATTGCTACGAGGGCATTCTAATTTTGGTAAAAAAACTAGATTATAATAAAACAACACACCAAATTTCATTAAAATCGGTTCGACAGTTTTCGGAAAATAATTTTTTGAAAAATATTTTGAAAAAAAAATTTCGAATTTCCAAAATGTTGCACAGCCTCAAATAAAGCATCTAGATACTTGAAAATTATTTCACATAGAAAAGACCGCTCAACCTTTCAAAGGTTTTTGAAAAATTGAAATTGGTTGGTTAGGACGGCTACAGTAAATTTTTAAAGTTAACACTTTTTTTTATTTTTAAACAATTAGATTACATTTATCAATTTGCAATTTGTTTTTTTTAATTACAATTTTAAAATACTATTTTTTCTTAATTTTATCTGTAGGTATTTAACAAAAAAATTAATTCCCACAAAATATATTCATATTCAGAGTGTTGAAATATATACGTAAACAAATTTTTTTCATTGAAAAAATGCAATAGCATAGGGTAAAATATACAGTATATTAATGCATAAACAATAAACTTCATTTATAACAAAATATGTGCAAATTAGACAGTTGGCATTACGATATTCGAATTCCTTGGCTCGCGAGTCGTCGGATTAAAAAAAGATCGAAATTGGTCCATTAGAAGCCGAGATAATGAATTTTTTTCGTATCTTCGCATTCCGAACCTCCGAATTCAGTCTCGGAGGATAGTTCAACAGATCCGCCCTAGTTTAGTAATCCATAACATAACCGCATTTATTTATTTTGACGCAGATGGCACTATACTTTCTATACCTTAGGCACTAGATGGACAAAATGTTTGTCCAAGCAAAGAAATGAATCCGCAGCTGCTACGCTAGTGATATTTTGGTCGCTCATCATATTAATTGCAATTGTATTTCATAATTTTGACTATTTGAAGTGACAATGCAAATAATTATATATAATAGTATTTATTGTACACATTATTTAATTACACAAATTCTCTTAATAACCTTAAAATTGAATTTGCTGCTAATGAGGTTAATGTGTAAAGTAATGATCCGAATAAACAAGATTGATTTAAATAATGGACTAACGGGGATCAAATAGTATTATTGATGTCAAAAAGATGAAATTTACTTTTAGTTTTTTAGAAGCATCGAAAATGCAACACTAACTGGATCATCTCTGCATAAATTCTGTGAATATGTGGGATCACAGCTGTTATTAGTAGCAGTATAATTTGTGCGAATGTATGTAGACATGTTGTATAATTTTATGTTCTGTGTGATTTTTGTTATAATTGTTTTAACGTTGTGTATAGGATTTACGCATTGTACTTTTTTTATAATAATACCAACTGTTTTACAGTTCAAACTCAAACTGAAAATTGACATACCACATTTGTACGAATGTATGTAAACAGTGGTCAAATAAATATATATCTATCTATCTATCTATTTATCTATCTATCTATCTATCTATCTATCTATCTATCTATCTATCTATCTATAAATTCAAATAGGTAAATTCAAAATACATTTTAGGTAATTGTCATAAACAAGACTGAGAGAATTTTTTAAGGTAGTACTTAGGCATAGGTCCATCATTTACCATTTAGAAGATACTCATAAAAAATAAGTTTAACAAACAATATTGCCACAATTTGTCCTTAGCAGTAAAAGTCCATTACTTGAACTTTAGAAGATACTCATAAAAACAATATACAACAGTTAACAACGTTTAAGAATAATCTACGTTCTCATGTGTAAAGTGAATGCTAACTACAGCGGAAAATTAAGATAAATTGTAAAGTATAAGGGAACAAATTACTTTTTTATATTGCTCGTGTTAGCCAAGACCGACCGGAATTGACGGACTACTGTGTTTTCATTAATAACACATTGACGTAAACTGTCACTATATCTTACATTAATTCTCCGAATCTATTTACTTTATATCTACATACTTGAAACGTAGCCGAAAAGACAAACAACGTTTGCTGGTAAACTTCAACGAGTTCAAAGGACCGCATGGAGTAATTTAAGTTTTACAACTTCGTATAAGAAGATAAACTTTCGCGTCTCCTTGGACCTGAACTTCTTTAAATTGGAAACTTCTTGCCTTACCTCGAATCGAATTTGGTGCCGTCTTGTAAAGTGCCGGTGTAGTGCATCGTCAGCATGTCCCCGTTCTTGGACTTGTTCTCGCAGCCTTCCGGCTTGTAAACCACGTCAGTCTTGAGTTCCTCCTTGCACTGGGCCACGACCGCGAAAAAGGCGATTATATACAGGCACCGAAACATGATGGGTCCTTACCAGCGCGAACGAAACTTTCAAACTAACTGAGTACGGAATGAATGAACGGCAAGTAGCTGCCACATGCCAGGAGAATTTGCCACGCTACAATCAGGGACGTCATCCGCGAGCGTCTCGCTTTCTCCCGCGATGTTCCAGTGCGACAAACGCTATTAAAGCCACAGGTTTAAATGCGATTGGCTGGTTGGTACACGTGATTCTTTCGCTCGGTAGATCGACCACATCGTTAAATTCGTAATCTGCAATTGCGGTGATAACAGAAATCGAGGTTTCAATATAAAAACTAATATAGTTAATGTATATAGTTTATGACAAGGGCAATATACAAGGATGGCCAGAAATACGGAATAAAATTCATATTTTTTTAATAAGTTAATTTTTTTTTAAAAAGCCGAAACACGTTAACTGATTTTGATTTTTTCCCATCTTTCGGTCATATAATAATTAATTTTTCTTCAACCCCCTAATCCCCAGCTACCCCTACTTTTTTTTCAAATGGATACATAATGCATCAGGGGCCCGTTGAAATGCTTATAGAAAACCGAGTCCAGCCATACCAAATAAACAAGTTTTATTTTTTCAATAACAATGTTTTTAGGGTTGTACCTACTTAAAATACATCTAAATAAAATTTAATTATCCTCCATGAATTTGCACATAATAAAATAAAGAATTTGAAACTGTACCTATCACTGCTAACGCAAAAAAGATACAGGTATATTTTTTATGTTGTGTTTTTTTGATACCACTTACTTGCCAGACTTTCTGGTTAATTTTTCGCTTTAGTTGTAAATTGGAGTTTGAAACGATACTATTGTGTCAAAATCAAGTTATTTACTGAATTGCAATGGTATTGTCGGAAAGGCAACGCATCGAAATCTTGATATTGCTTGGATGTGGAGACAAAATAAGAAGTCGGGCTGAAGTACGCGATTTATTTAATGCGAAATATCCCGAAAACCAAATCTCGCAAGGGACAGTTAGTAAAATATTTCACAAATTTGAGGACCCAAAACTGGACGGGCACGTGCTTTGAATGAAGAAAAGAAATTGGACATTGCATTAGAACTTGTTGAAAATCCTCATACTTCAACAGTTTCATTGGCCCGCAATCACGATGCTTCTCGAACTGCAATTCGAATGTTTCTGAAACAAGAGAAATACCACCCCTATATGGTATGTCTTGTCCAAGAGCTTTTGGAAGACGATTATGATAGGCGATTGCAATTTTGTGCAGAAATGATGAGAAGGTATGACGACACTAATGGTTTTCAACGAGACGTACTTTTCGGATGAACCTACGTTTTATTTAAATGTAGTGGTTAACAGGCACAACTATCGCTTTTGGTCCCAGGAAAATCCACACTGGACATGCGAAACGCATACGCAGCATCCACAGAAAGTTAATGTATGGGCAGGTATCATCAACAACAGAATCTTGGGCCCATTCTTTTTTGAAGAAAATCTTACTGCCGCACGCTACCTGGATTTCCTAATATTTGACCTGATACCAACAAGATGGCGCTTCCCCACATTTTGGTATTGACGTTCGAAGATACTTAGATGAAATGTTTCCAAATCACTGGATTGGTAAACGGGGTACAGTTGAATGACCGCCACGATCCCCCGACTTAACACTCCTGGATTATTTTCTTTGGGGATATTTGAAAGAAAGAGTCTACCAGGACAAACCGGATAATATTGAGAATTTAAAGAACAAGATTAAGGCGGAAATGCATAATTTACCAGCTGAAGTCATTCAGAATGCTGTGGACAGCATTACTATCGTATTGGAGAATGCCAAATAGTGAATGGAGGACATTTTCAGCATTTGCGACATTGAGTTTATTTTTGTAAATTATCTAGTTGTTTCAATTTCTAAATGAAAAAAAAACTTGTTTATTTTATATGGCTGGATTGAGTTTTCTATAAGCTTTTCAACGAGCCCCCTCATGCCTTATGTTTACATTTGAAAAAAAGTAGGGGTAGCTGGGAGTTAGGGGATTGAAGAAAAATTAATTATTATATAACCGAAAGATGGGGAAAAATCAAGATAAGTTAACGTGTTTCGGCTTTTTATAAAAAATTAACTCATTCAAAAGATATGAATGTTATTCCGTACTTCTGGCCATCCCTGTAGAATGATCCAGCTTTAATACAACGAATTTTAACACATTTGGCATCAAATACTGAACTTCAGAACAAAACTTCTTGTCTATAGACGTAATTAACTGTAAAAAAGTTTCATTATCAACATACAATGTCAGTGTTCAGTTCTAGGATACAAGATTTAAGAATCGTTGATAAATCAGGAGTCAGTTCAGTTCCACCACCAGGAAAATGGATAGGACGAAGAGTACGCTCGTCAAACCTCGCTGCTTGAGAAGGTGCAGTTGTGGTCTAATATGTCAAAAATTAAAGGCAAAATTTAAGAAAAAAACTATACTTAAGGTCTAACATGTGGCAATTTTTATGTGGAATATCAAATAGCTGATAATCAGCTAGCCTTTAAGATATTTATGACTTAAAATACATTGTATACATGCGAATACTCGATTATTGATATATGAGAAATTCTGTTTAAATATGAAAAAATTTATACAGAGTGTCCCGGTACTTGATACAAAAAAGTCGAGTACAAATAGATGAGGTCAAAATAATATTAGTTCTGCACATAAATTTTTTTCTACGGGCCTTCGTTAACAAGTTACGGGCCATCAAGAGTGAAAACTAAAAAGTTATTTTTATTTACAGTCTCTAAACTATTAACTTCAACATGATGCAAATTTGGTGGTCGATAACACATGCGTACAGCTTGTTTTTGATGTTGTAAATGAAACTTCATTATGCCCAGAACTAGGGACGGATTATGCCCAATCCGCTTGCATCAAAAATAAGTTTCCTGAAGAATTAGCCAACGATAATAATACCCCCTTGATTGAACTCGGTAAAATTAACTGTCAAGGAAATATTTGTGATTTTATGTCACAGTGCACATCGAGTGGCGCCTCCACCATTTTTTTAATTTTAATCGGAACTAATTACTATGTTAGAACCGTACACATTTTTAAAATAAGAGCCTAGAAAATCTTACTGCCTGCTAATGTAATTTTCACTAACAAAATTTGACAAACATACTCAATTCAAAAACTTACCAATCATTGAATAAATCGAAACTCCTCCTATAACTGTTAGTTTTACAAAAAAATAAAGGGTTTTTAGTCGCAAATATAGTTTTAAATAGAACGTAATCGTTAAAACTATAGAAAATTTAATGGCATTACTTTGTTTTTTCAACATAACACAATTAAATGAGGTTTTTGAAAAAAAAAAATTGGTAGTTTATAATATAAAAATGTTTGATATCTGGAAAGCTTGTAAATTGTAAATCTATTAATTTTTTAATTTTTAATGTAGAACTAAATATACACAATTTGAAATTTAGTATTCCGTTTAAATACGACTTAAAGAGTGTTACTGTTAATCAAGAAAGTAATAAAAGTATTTATGTGGCAAAAAAGTAAGAGAAACTATAGTCAATAATTGATGGCATTGCTCGGTACTTTCACTTTTAAACACCTACATTATTTTTTCAATTTCATATATTAAAATATTTCCAGGAATTCTCTTTGAATAGGTATTAGAAAATTTTCAGGTGCTTATGATCCCAAGATAATAATTAATTGACGTAGGTAATCCTTTTACTTACATTTTTTTTACATGGCTTCCTTCTGCTAACTTTCTTTGTGATTCATTGCATGTCTTAAAATGAAAGTGTTGTGATTTTCGTGTCATATCTCATCGTAAGACACAATTTATTAATACGTTGCATCCATTTAAAACTGTTGAAGTATTAAATACGTTTTTATTACTTGCTTATAACAATAATATTGAAAACCGTAGATTATAAAAATAAGTAAAATTTTATGACAGAAATCTGTAACACAATTAGAAAATTAATTCAATAATATGCCCAACGAAGTTAAAAATAATTGGTTAATAAAAGTAACATGTAGTTAATAAAATGAATTCCATATTATTCTAATTAGGGCAGCGTTAACATAATACGTACTATATTTAGAAATCATATTGATGTTGGTGTTGCATTTATGTACTCTACTTCGTAGGTCTGATTTCCAGTCCAGTCACAAGCCACATTCAAACTCTCAATAAAAAAAAATCACTTGATAACTTAGATCGTCTATTGTACATATCAAGTGGATATACGAAGTGAATATACGACCCGTTTCTACTGCGAACGGTCCTGTCTATTTCCATAACCCTAAAGTTCTTCATCTAACTCTAGTCTCCATAACCTTGATCTACCAACTATACAGAGCACCCTTGTTAGGCCTCCACCCCGTGGGGCTCTTTTCCCCCTGATAGAACATGTAATTACGTCAGAACAGACTATTTGGCCAAGCCAGTGTTTCTCGGAAGATTCCTGATTCTGTAATTCGCAATCGTATTCTTATACTCACTAATCTGCAATTTTGATTGGATCGGTCTATCGTGAACTCTTCTTATGGTCCTTTCAGGACCTTCACGCAGGAGAATTCGAACCCTATTAGGGCTGAAGATGAGTCTACTCTGGCTATCTCATTAACCTTCTCGTTGTCCTGATACTCCTCATATATCGGTACTTAAGCTAGTATCAAGTCTTCATGACAGCTGAATTTAGTTTGGTTTGAGCTGATTGCCTTGAGTGTGCTGCCTGACTGTTGGAGTAAATAGCATTCCGTTGGTTTTTAACATAGCTACACAATTCGTTGGTTATCACCTTTACCCAGAAGTCTTTGTTATGCATAGTGCCAAAGACTTTATAAATTCAAGCTGTAGATATAACAGTAATAGTCACATGATCATTGGTAAGATAATTTTAAACAATGACATGCAAACTTAAATGTAAATATTATTTTCACAACAGGTTACTAAAATAACAGTTTGATTTTGTATTGTATTAAAAACTTTCTAATAAATTATTATTATGAAAATGTATTGCACTTGCATGTTGTTTGCGTCAATCAAGGTACTTACAAATAAACAAAAAAATTAAAAATGTAAAAAGAAAAATACGTTTCCAATAAATTGCATGGACCCATACGA